ACAGGTTTCTAGTATTGAGGACAAGTTCACAAAAAATAATTGAACTAAGCGTTTTGTCATTTAGTTTTTGTGCAGCTGGAATTTGTGACCGGTCAATGCGTCTACAAACATGATGAAATTTCAAAAGAAATTGATACACGTGATTATCCAACTAGATATTGTGTTATGAACAAAATGTATATATGCACATTCAACGGAAAGGTCGTGTTATTGGGTCAAAGTTCAAATCTTGTCCGGCTTCTGATAGTGACCTACGCCGTTCGGAAATTGAATATGGGTCGCCGATTCACACACCAACGCACTATCTATGTAGCTAACCGGCTTACATTCCTTTATTCAAAATACTATGCAAATGCTATTTACCAGGACCATACGGTGTAATTCGCGCAGGACATAGGTGAAAAGGATTATTGGAAAGAAATAAATGCCAGATACAGTGTTTCAGTGTTTTATAGACACAATTCTAGTTTTGTTATAAACAGACTTTTAAAGTTTTAATTCTATTAGTACTTTTTACTATTATTCCAACATCTGTGTGAAATATCCATGAAGCATAAAAAACCTAATCAGCAATTCGTTTAATTTATTTTGTATCACATAGTATATAGTTCTAGACATACTATAAAGATCTTGAACAATGGTGATCCCTTGGAACGTTTTATCACAGAAATTACATGAACATTGCAGACTTGGTTAGATTGTGTCTGTTAATGAGGTATATTAAAAAGTGCAACCTCCCTCACGATCCCCAGTATTAACTTATACGGTACTCAAAAATAACAACAGCAGGTGTTATGTGACCATTTGTAAAATTTCAGTGCTGTCATGTTTTTGTCCATCGCCTTTTCGAGGAAAAAGGGGGATATATAAATAGGCTCCGTCCATATTTCCGTCCGTCTTTCCGTCCGTACACTCTAATGTCCGGTTCATAACTATGTAAGTTATCAAACGAATTTGAAATAACTTGGCACAAATGTTTGTTTATACGATGACGATGTGTCATTCGCCCCTACCTTTTAGGTCAAAATCTCACTTGGTCATCGTTGTCTATTTGAGGGTATATGTTGTGTTCGGTCCATAACCCTTTATCCATGAAGGGATTTTGGGATTACTTGACACGAATGTTCACAATAACGAGACAATGTGTCATCTGCAACAACCAGTAGCCCACTTCCAAAGTCAAGGGCGCAGTTGGAGGTCAAAGATAAAATAGTCTGTTATAAGGTATAAAATATGTCTGATCCATTAATTCTTCATTATCAAGGGCTTTTAAAAATACTTGGCACAAATGTACACATAATACAATTTGTCATGCGAACACCCAGACCTCTTCATCCTAGGTCAAGGTCACACTTGGGGGGGGGGGGTGTCAAAGCTTCATATGGTCTGTTGTAGGTTACACTTTGTTTCCAGTTCCTAACTTTCTCATCCATGAGGGACTGAGGGACTTTTGAAAATACTAAGTGCATTAGTGCTCACGTTTAGATGATGACGTGTCGGAAGCAACAACAAGACGCCAACCTTTAAGGTCAAGTTCACACTTGGTTATAAAAGGTCAACATCGTCTGTTCTAGGGTATATTATGTGCGATTTTGTTTTGATTGATTCCGGCACGTTGAGTGTTGAAGCCGGGCGGAAAGGATGTTGCACTTTTTCATAATCCTTCATGGACAGACGCAAGTAATCGGAGTCTGTTAGATGTTTAGTCATTGTTTTAATGCTTCGATTGATCACCCCTTTTACAGTTTTGTTCGACTTTGCTAAATCGATCATTACATAGATCGGGAAAAAAAACGAATTTGAATTTTACCCAGCTTCAAACGATGTTGGTAGTTATATAAGAAGTAATATTGATATTTCTGAAATCTGTGTAAAATTGTGCAATGTTATTTATTTATTTTGGAAAGTATAATAACAAACCGTTTTACCTATTCCCTCCATGACCATAACCTGTGATCTTTTGTTCCACCTATTTTTTTCGCGTTCAGGACACAAACAATATTTTACTAAGGGAGCATACGCCGCTTTTCATGGCATGACACCAAAATGTCACATTTAAGGTTCCATGACCTCCGCCGTATAAACACATCTACGAATATTTCTTTATTCAAACTTTTAGCATTACATGTTTATATGTTGAATACTTCTTACACCCACTGGTGCTAGGGGTCGTGAACAGTAGCATGCACGTCCCAGTACTGTACATGAACAGACTCACTCAAAGCGGACTGTAACATTTTCATTTTTGGTGTTGTTTTTTTAAAAACTTTTTAGGGATTATCTTTCTCTCTATTTAATGTTTGTGATACTATTGATCATAAAAAGGCGTGTGTTCCTTTTCCAAATACTATCATGGTGCAATATGTGATATTGACGCGTGGATACCGCCTGTAATTGAGGATAGTGAGGGGGGTGGGAATGCATGACACTGGTGAAGAAGATGAGTATAAATTTTCGGGGTGACATGTTTGTGAAAAGTATAAAATGCATAATACATACAACACAGGTGCAGATTTTTGTTTGATAGTAGCTTTCAGAAAATATATGAAATAAATCCATTTAAATCCATTTAATAGATGATCTACATCTAAATTGGTGTTGGTATCATAAAAATTGAAATCAATTTCATAGATAAAGTGTAATTGTATTTGATAGGATTTTTCAAGAACTTGAAAAACAATGTTTCTAACTATCTTATATTTTAATTGTTAAATTATTATCTTTAAGAACGTAGGGATTTCGAACCCTGGGTAATATTGATTGAGAGTACATGAAGCTGCTGGCGTTCTTTAAAAAAGTTTTTTTTTAAATATGACATATATCATGTAACACAATTGGTATAGTTTTATATCATAAATATGATGCTCAAATTAAGATTTATCAATTTTGTAAGTTCCAAAAAGCATTATTTATAAAGATATTACCGAATTTAACATTTCATTTAAAGAAAGGGAGGTACTAAAATATTTTTTTTCTAAAAAGTCTAAGCCAAATTTTATCTTCTAATACACAATGTTTTCACCAGCTACTAAGTTTCTGAAAGTTTAAACAATCAACTTCACATATATCTTCTATTACATCAACTTCAACTTACACACAAACTTCAACAACATCTCTACCAATCACCACGAATACAGAAAGTCCGCCCAATGGATCATCTCAGACATTATCGGAAAGATAATACTTTTTCCTCCCTTGCACCAGCAGCCAGAGAAATAGTTGAAGCGAAAACTGTCGCATCTACTTGTCAGACAAGTTCCAAGCCTGTTACAGCTATCACTACAAAGGCATAGAAATCCTTTAATGATCAAGACTACGGGGAGCAAATAGGTAAAAACTTCTCCACACAATTCTAATGCGATTCATACATCAACACACCTTTTATATTAAACTACACAATCCCAGTGGAGTTAGCAATCTCATCGACCACAAAGGCAAAGAAACGTTGTAAAGAGTGAATCATTCAACGTTTGAGGGATAAATTAAGAAAACATCAGCACAAAAAGCAGAGAAAATTAAACAAAATCGAACGAATAAGTAAATTGATCGTACGTCTCGAAAGGATTATTAAACACCACGAAGAAAAGAGCGACTAACGATTGAAAAAGCGCACATTTAGACATAAGAAGGCTAGAAGAGATTTTCTGATAATTTGCATTTGCATGGCAGGTTTTATTTGATAGGTTTGCATTGTGCTTGTCTGATTTCTGTTAGCTATTATATACATGTACTTAAATTTCTTTAATGCTTATCTTCAGTATTTTGCTTAATAGCATTCATATTTTTTTCGATTTGAACTCTGTATTAGAAAACTTATATGTTGGTACTGTGTTTATTAATTCGTAAGACTGAACGAAATCATCACATTGATATTAGACTCGTGCTGTTCGAAAAGGAATCACATTTAGACATAGGTTAGTTTTTACTATTTGCATTTATACCTAATATTTTGGTACTGTGTTTATTAATTCGTAAGACTGAACGAAATCATCACATTGATATTAGACTCGTGCTGTTCGAAAAGGAATCACATTTAGACATAGGTTAGTTTTTACTATTTGCATTTATACCTAATATTTTGATCCGTCATTCATTCAATTTGTCATTATTATTCTGGCGTTAATAGAAAACATGTTGAATACAGCAACAGTCAAAAACATTATGCAGTTGTAAATAAATAAATGCATGCATGTGCTTACTAAATTGTTGTTTGTTTTAACTCATTATGCTCGTATACTAGTGTGTGCACCAATGCTTGAAAATCTATAACTGTCTATAGAAACATTTATGCCCAAATTACTTTTGTTGTCAATAAAACATAACCTTATTACTTCATAAGTTATTAACAAGGTTCCAACATGTCACTGAGATCCTAGTTTGTGCAAAAATGTGGCAAATTGGCCATAGTAATGGTTTGTAAGTCCTTAACCTAGTGACCTTAAAAAGTTCCATCATTGAGTTATTACCAATCTACATGGCTACATGGATTATTTGCGTAAGTGGTCAATTATTTCTTATCATAACCACAGTGAAGGAGTTATACATGTTATATAACACCAAATGATCGCAAAATAAATAAAGTGTAATACACTGGCCATCACCAACACACAATCTTAAGACTGCGGATCTATTTTAAAGTCGGCAATGCTTTTGGCACTCAAATGTGAACTTTGTCTAAATGACCTCAAAATTAGACATGTCATTTGCAACTTCTTTACTTATTAGTATAAATAACAAATTTTACCTTCTCAAAAACAAGGAAAAGAAGACGTGTGGACAAACATACGGATGACCGAATGAACAAGAATACATTATTTGGGTACTTAGAGTGTTTAAAGTTGACCTGTTACAAATATATTAATACATGTAATTAAGCACTGGGCTCTAACGCCTGAAAAAAGTTTAGTTATGTTTTTTTGTCAGTTAAGTTTTTCTTTTCTGTTTTTAACTTAACGGCTTTAATGGATAACTAACTAGTACTGGTATCCACTTATTTCTTTGAAAGTGCCCGAATCCAACATGAATCAGCAGTGAGAGGCAAATGACAATAAAACATGAACAATGTTACTGAGAAATTTTGTCTCGCCCGAGAATGGAACCAGTGATCCCTGTTTTACTTATTTGATGTACTTCTTTTTATCTAATCGGGCAGACACGGCAATGTGGGGTAAGCTTAGATAAGATAGAAGCGTCGTATGTATTCTCATTTTTGGGGGGTGCGGATGGTGAGGCGTTTATGGAATGCCACCATTCCTTGTTGATCTTGTTTGCCATAATTAGTATTGTTACACAAACTCTTTTTGAAAAGATAAGAACATTTATTCACAGGAAATTATTTTACAACACATTTCTATGTATTATATTTAAGACTTAAGACAGTCACGCTTTTTGTTTATATGAATATAGCTTTCGTATCTAGCAATACTTTTAAATACACACATTCAAGACACATGACATAGGTTCTCGTGCCTAACTTAAGCGATTATTCTTATAATTGGTATTATATGTGATTTAACGATGCGGCCAAATATTAAACTGTAAAATATAACTGTAAAACATGCACAACAGTTCCATGTTTGTCTTTCAAAGTGTTTCACACACAGACTACTTCTGTAATATTTTTCTATACATAATTCTCATGTTTGCTTCCTACATTGCTGTTTGCTTATGGTGTCTCTGTATTTGATATGAAAAAAAAATCACAGAATATTTTGCTACACAGATTGAGCATACTAACAGATGCAGCATAACAATTTCCACAGACAGGAAGCTACGTTTTATTACCCTTGGCATTCTCACACTTCAACTAATGATTCAAGCATTTTACGTTGACGAAACTTGGCAGATATATTAATTTTACTTTGTTGTTTAAAAATAACCAATTTGTTAATAAACATCTGTTGAGACTTTGTAAAGGTTTTGAACGAATTAAGGGTTCCCGACGATACTCAAACAAAAGAAACATTCATAACTGCATGATTATTAATAATCCTAACCCTCTTAAAAACTTATAATTTTTCTAACCGTAATGTATGAAAAAGCTCAACACCTGGTGGAACAGTCTTTCTTGTTATTAATTGAGCAGGTTCGTGGTTTTACAGACTGGGTATATAGATAACAACAACAAAGTCAAGTAAATCTTTAAGTGGTGTTAACAACATCATCACACCACCACCAACAACAAAAAACAACAGAAAACAGGAAACAACAAAATCAAGGGATTTATCCAACATTCCTGAGCTGATGGCAGGCACATATAGAGACTTGTAATAATTTTGATGATGTACCTTGCAATATTGAACTAACGAACGTGTTCTGAAAGAGATAGAAATAAATTCAGGATAAAGAAAGGGTTAATCAATGTTTATATATTCTGCTTAAGCTGGTATTAGAGGTCGTGGATGGAAACTTATTAATACTGGGCTGAAACAGACAGTGCCTGCATCATTTGCATTTTTGTTATTTGTTTTTGGCGATAAATTATAACTACGTGCGTGGTTAGAAAATTTTATATTTGAAGTATGTATAGGCATACGTTTGTTGTCCGGATTGTTGAATTAAAGTAATTGATTACTGACCGATTTCTGACTATAACTACAATGTCATTTTATTGTCATTAATGTGTTCTTTAAGTATATTTTTGTACATTATATTTCATTTGATAATTTAAATGATCGGATAGAACAGCAACACTTATTTAACTTTTAGCTTTTACATTTTTACCTTGCGTTTTGATAACAATTAGAATCAAGACATTTAAATTTAGTGCAAGTATATGAACACTATATTAATGCATTTCAAATTATTTGTAATAAAACGAAATCTCTGCTAGCTTGACACTTAATTTGAATCAAGAATTAAAGAAAAATGCAACACTAAAAACCATATGGACAAGTTGTCAAATCAGATTATTGTTTTTCAACTTAGATATTGTGCATATAACAGAGTTACCAAAGATATCTTATGACAAAATATGTATTGTTTTTAATACAAAAGATACCCCGAGAAAGTGGTGTAACGTTCAGTAGGAGAGCCATAAACTTGTCCGAGGTTGACTTGCACGTAGACATTATCATTTTTGTGAAGATGGACAATGACTGTGTTACCCGCCTGTGTACTTCTTCCTAAGGTTTTTATAATGGCGCTTGAAATTATATTTCCATTCACCATCAGGTATGCCGTTTGCTGGTCAGTGTTGGACCAGTCCTCGAACTGGAAAGCAAAAAGATAGGTGCCGGTTGCCGGTACTGTAAAAATACCGGAACTTTTGTCATAGGCTTCTCCGTCGTTAATTACCTCGGAATCAAATACGATCTTTTCATTATCAAGATACATCGTGCGACTTGAAAGGTAGGCAGAAAATGCCACTCGGCCGTACACAATTGCTCGTTTCACAACAGAGTGATGTTCTTCATTTGTAGCCTCTAAAAACGAACAAAAACAAACGAGTTAGCCAGTAAATGCCATATTTATTGAAAAATTACTTTAAGTCAAATCTTAATAATCGTCGTCGTATTTTGGGATTATCAAAGTAGTACATGTAGTTAAGAGCTTCAGAAATAAAGTACTTCAGAAACAAAAATGGATTTTCAGACAAAAAAGGATAATTAATTATATAAAATAATCAATAGATAAAAACATCAATTACTTAATAAACATACAAATGATAGTGTGTAATTGATGTTGAAAGTTTTAGAATAACATTTTTTCATTGGCAAAAAGCCGAAAGAAATAACAATTTCAATTTTTATAAAACTAATACCTTTGATGGCCGAAAACAAAAACAAAAGAAAAAAGAAGAGAAATTAAATAAATTTATTTGATAAATATATCAATAGAAATTATTTTCAAAAACATTTTATACATGCTGTCGTATTTTAAAGAAAAATGGGAATTTTGAGTGACATTATGCCCATTCAAGGGTAAATAAAAAATTGAGACACGTGAAAGTCAGAATAAGTTTACATTTGCCATAAATTTTGCCTTTCAATTTCATTCTAAACTTCCCCTGAACGAAAAACATCTCATGTCAATCACGGAGATTTCTGTTTTCTCCGGAATTTACCCGCCGTTTCAAAATCTTATATTTTATATTGTTAAAGTGCAATAAGTATTATATTAAAACTTTTATTGCCCAGTTTTTCAAACGAAAATAGCGTAACTGACCATAATTATGCAATAATGAACACTAGCTATCAATTTAATATTTGATTAAGAGAATCACAATATTTCAATTTCGTGAGCAATTTTGCTTTGAAAAATAGCGACATATAAATAACTAGTATACGTATTATAAAAAAATCAGCGACTGTAAACAATTATACAGCTTTTCCGAATGATTTATAATATCAAATCATGAAAAACTATATGAAGTGATATTAAGATGTTTCAAAATAACTTCAGTATTATTTCTATTTGGTTGAAAGAAATTGGATTATTAAAACAATGCTATATATTGTTGAAAATACAACGCACTAGATAATCGGTACTTAAATGAAATATGAAAGTCATTTTCAGCACAAAATTTGCGACAAAGAAAAAAATATACACGATAAATGATCATTTGTAACTGAATTTTACTTTAATAAGTTGAGAATATGGATTGGAAAAATAAAAGAAAAGAAAATGATATTTCTTACCTGCATTAACAGAAATGGCATATTGATTTGTCATCATCATTAAGACAAAGAATACGGACACAGATGGAAGCAAGAAAGCCATATTGTTCAGCAATGATGCGACTAAAATAGAATAAAAATGCCGTCATCATAAAAAACCAAACAACACAAAAACACAAAACAACAACAACAGAAAAAAAACAAAAAAAACAAACAATAGCAGAAGTGAACAGCACTAATATCAACAATAATTATAACTTTATTACAAATATTATGACTTGATTTACCTTTCTTAAGTTATTTTTGCGTTTGCAATAAAATAGTAAATATATTTCTAAATGCTTTAAAATATAAATATAAAAATTAAGAAACAAGTGATCCTTTGGAAGCATTATTACAAAACAATTACATGAAAAATTGCAGATTCGGTTTGCTTGAGTCTGAAAACTGCTGTACATGAAAAATAAAAAACAATCACAAGTCCCTCACGCCTCCCTAGCACTGGCTTAAGCGGTACTCATATTTCAACACTTAAAACACCTAATGATCCCGAAGGACATAAAAACACAGAATTACATTTATTTATTAGAATTTAACATTTCACTTACATTGAACATTTTATAACTACGGAGGAAAGAATTAATCATAGATTTATAATGCATTTTTCATAAACAATATGATACATTAAAATTTACAATCATGAATCTGTCTTTCTCAATTTTGTTGAAGAGTCTGTACTTAAATCTATCAGTCCTGTAAACATAGTAATCTACTCTACTTACATCTAAGGTTCTTACCTTGTAAATATGCACAGTTGTTACAAGGACCGCTTTAACTTTGAAGCGCCTTGCCCAAACTTTGTCTAATATATCCGCAGCAAATACGGGATTTCGCAACAAAATAATTTAGGTGGTTTTCATATTGATATTAAAAATTGATAATAAAAAACATATCTCTGTTTAAATCATTTAAAATGTTTAAAGTCTCACGAACGCCACAATTTACATAAATTCATTAAATAAATATATATCATAAAATCAAAGCACGTGTTTTGGATAAAAACAACAAACATTAGCGGTATTATCAAGAAGCCCAGACAACGGCCTTGTAATAAATGCATACTTTTCCAATTAAATTAGCTAACACTTAATGGGCAAAGTTAGGCAATTATGTAAGCTATTAAAAATATTTTAAAAGGATAGGCCTGTTGTAAAAAAACACAAAAAATCAAATTTTCTGACTCGTTTGTATTGAGGCTGTTTATATGAGATACTGTTCAGTTAAATGCATGTACAGCTAAGTCTTCTATAATTGTATGAAGATATATCTTATAAAATATTTAAGTTAAATTAAAAAAAAATTGTAAAATTTTGTTGTTTCCATAATAATTAGTTTAATATTAAACACACATGGAAACAGTGCGTAAACAGTACTAAATGTTCCCGACATTTTTTTCTATTTTAAGTACATTTTCAACAGTTTATCAATGAACTCGTGCATGCGAAATCGTAAAAAAGGAAATATTGCAACATATATCTTTGATGCAATATTCTTTTTTCAAAATAACAAGCAGTCATATTATAGCTTTATACACCTTAAAGGGTACATGCATTTTATTGTCAACACAAATAGTACATTAGGATCAATGGACCTAAATAACCAGAAAAAGGAGGTAAACAATAGAAACAATAGTGTAGACACAGATATCCAAAATTGTCTATCTCGCCCTATAATAACATGCATAGTCCGGTATCACAGTACAGATAGAGCTTGACAATGGCATACGAAAACTAATACAAAAATGAACTTATATAGTTGTTCTGTCTCCAAAACACTAAAAATAGATGCTATGTCTCAAAAAAGGTTGCTCTGTCTCCAAATTTAAAGATTTTCTATTTCGCGTAAATTGTTTGTATTTGAATCATATGTTTGAAGCCGCGACTGTCTGGATAACACAACGACAGGAGAGTCAACAATAAGCTAGTAAGACGCTTATAAGGACAACAGTAAATTTTTATAACAGACACAACCGTCCTTTTGCCGTTCCTTCTTTTAATTGGTTTTTACAAACCAAATGAATGCATTACAGTGTATCTATTGCGTATATTGAACTAATACATAGGTGACTATTGAACTATTTTGATTGATCATCCAGTAATTTCTGACTTTGATGGGTAAATATATATTTTTTTTGCATTGGTAATTCGCCCTATTAGTTTGACTAAAATCCTGCTAACGGAGACATGTTTAGACGTTGTTTCGCAATATGCAATTTCCAAAAAAATATTTCATCATTTATTTGTTATGTTGATGCGTAATTTATTTATTTCATTTTTGTCTATTTCATCAGATTTGACATTTTTAGTTTGCATTGAAAGATAAACGTCTATGCTTTGAGGTTAAAACGACAGGTTTCAGAGCTTGTTTGTACCAAGTGGAAGTTAATATAACTTTAACTGGAGGGTAAATGTATCATGATTTGACTGTTTTGTCCATTAGCCACCCAATTTGATAATAAAATTGTTGTTTAAAAGGTTTGTTAATTCATTCCCATGCATTTTTGTTGGTTTTTTTTGTTTTGTGCTTTTTTTCCAAAATTAATGCATGAACATATTATAAATAGAAGTTTGATTTCTTTTGAAGCTGAGAAATTCATGAATAGAAGAACAGTATCTAAAAGAAAAAACACAAAAGCCAATCAATTATAGAAATAAAAAAAAAATAAGAAAAGAAAATAAGATTTGTCTGCGATAAAATAAATAGTTTGAATAGTTTGATTTCCGGTCATCATGTTCAAACATTTACGCTAGGGCATACTTAAATGATATCCAGTCCATGATCGTCAGTGGCGACTAAATGGATTTGAATTACGAGTCTATGCATCTGCAGCAGGTGGGTGGTTTTGACACCTGATGTTACTTTAAGTTTGTAACACCCGGGGTTAGCAAATCTTATCTGAAATTCTCTTTTCGGCGCCGTATGACTAGATTGTGTTGGAGGGCTCAACCCTCCTCTTCCGCACCGAAATAATTAACCTATTCTAATACTTCAGTAAACAGACTTGCTTTATTTTTTAGACAAATGTAAAGACCTACATTTGAAAACTTCTGACAGACTATTTCACACGAACAATATGGATGTTTTTGGTCGCACTCTTACTTTAATGTTAACAGATCATCATTTGCCTTGAATACTAATGAGAACTCCTCCTCACAATTCCAAGAAAATGTTAATGTTAATTATTTATTTACTGAGTTGAAAGGTTTATGTTTCAGTCAACCAGATGAGAGTATTTGTAATATTGTGACCACATGACTAGGTTTGCCGTGTAGTTGTAAAGTTTTAAAGCTAGTTCTTTGCTCTTGGTATTGTCTGATATATTTAAAGTCTTTGTAGGAGAATATGTCAAAGGTATTTATTCCTTTTGGTTTACAATTGGTCATTTATCTCTTCGTTAAATGGTTTGAATTGCATTTGTTTGTATTATGAGTTTTAACAGTCTTGAACTGATTACTTGGTTGTTTTTGATTTTGTAAGAATTTGTAATTGATGATCTATAATACTATTTCTTTAATTCTTAACAAATTGCAAGACTATAACCTTACTTATACCCCGGTCACATATTCACGGAATACGCCCACGGAAGAGCCACCGATTAATTCCGGCATCGTCTGTAGCTACCCGTACTGGTCAGTAGCTCTCCGTATTGTAACCGTAATCAATCGTAGTAGTCCTTGTATATCCGTAGCGATCCTTGACAATTTTTGAACATGCACAAAAATTTGCTACGGAAAAATCAATCGTAGCGTATCCCTACTAGTCCGTATTAATCCGTACTGATACGTACTGGTCCGTAAGAAAACCGTAATAGTCCGTACTGATTCGTAGTCCACCAACTTGTCAAGGATTTCCACGGTTTGGTACGGAGAACTACGTATTTGTACGGTTACCCTACGTATAAGCTACGGTTTTAATACGGATTAATACGGCATTGTCACGGAAAGGCACGATCGTAATACGTTGTACTACGGAGAGGCAAGGATTAGTACGGTCTTATACGGTTTATTGCGTTGCAACACGAAACGGTACGGAATGGTACGTACGGCCCACCACTGTTAAGTACGGATGAATTAAGTATCATGTACTTTTTCAAGGGTATAAATACTACCTTCTTGTTAAAAACAGACATATATATTTGCAGGAACATTTAATAAATATTAATTGCCATTTACTGGCTGCAACTTTATATTGAAATGGCTCAGAATGCGGAGGCAGTGGTCGAGCTGCTTGATGACATGCATAGAAGTAAATTTATATTAATATCGTACTTCAATTCATAAGAAATAGAATAACATTTAATATTACATATTTTACAAAAATTGGATCGTGAAGATGGAGTAAATATGTACATAAAACGAAGTGTCTAATAAGCCTCGGACACTGGCCCTTGAGTGATAATAAGATTAATTAACAAGCTTTTTACATATTTTAAAAACATAAACATCACGATCATTAATGTAATTGTAAGATGAACAGCAAATCTTAAAATTAAAAGAGAAGCAGTTTTGATCAACATTTTTCATTAATGATTACTAGGCCATATCCAATCAGGTAAGAGAAGACAGACGTGATGGTGGACTAGAGATTGGCTTTTACGAAGACCGCTTCATGTTTAGTATGAGGCTAATATGGCCGAATTTGTTGAGGATCCAGCTTCCTTCAAGAAATTCACTTTAATTGGACCTGATGTGTCTCGGGGTTCGGACGCGATTAGGCTGAATCCTCTCCGCCAAAATCATTGAACGATGCATTTCATTTTCTAGGTGTTCTTTTCTTTTGAGGCATTTTGAAAATGAGCAAACAAGATTGTGGACGGATGTATTAGGTCCGTATAGATCCGTGGCAAGTCGTTCTTCTCCGTATCAATACGTTCTTCTCCGTATCAGACCGTACTTATTCGTACCAACCCGTGCTTATACCGTAGCAGACCGTAGTGTATCCGTAGTGCGTCCGTCCTGATTCGTGTCGCTCCGTATCAAACCGTGTCGGTCCGTTACAATCCGTGTCTCTCCGGGGGGGCTTTTGGTGGTAAATCCTATAGAGGCTATTCGTTGCCAAAAATCCAGCCTTTGAAACTTAACAATGCATACTTCGGTTCTACTAAACAGATAAGAAAAAATCTAATTGTCGATCCGAGAGTTACATACTGCACTGGTATAAAGCATTTTGATTATCTCGATTTGATAAAATGAAAGCTGTTAACATGCAACTTAGATAAATTGCAAACTGTATTTATAAATGTATAACTTCATATTTGCGACATGTAAAAATGTAAACAATAGAACGTACACAATACGTTTATGGCTGTGCATCATGAAGTTGAGAATGTAACTGCATCAACTTGACACACTCAGGTTTACAACACCACACTTTCCTTTTACATTCTAACGCGATTAACATTTGTAAACGATTTTGCAACTTCCATATATGGAATTATCACGGAAATAGACGAAAATTAATAGGCGGAGCCAATTTCACGAAAGCAGAATATAAAGAGAGGTAACTCTTGCGGGTACAAAAATATTTCAAATTATATAGAAACTGTTACATCACTCTTGACTTTGAACATCCTCTGATTTTGTTAAAACGTATTCTAGTACAGGATATTAAAGTAATGCAAAAATTGGTTAAAGATATGATGTAAAAATGTAACAACGTATATACTGATAATGAGCATAATAATATGCAAAACTAAAGTTGGTGAAATAACATAAGGAAGTGTTTCCATATATATAATGACACACACCACTGATCATTGATATCAATGATAGGGTTTTGTGAGTCACGGCAATACTCTTCGGATATCTTTTTTTATCTTCAGCAA